TGTTGAAAATTTGATATATTTTCTTCAATGTATAACTTCGCCACTTCAATGAACTTTGCTTCATGAACATATTCATTCAGAATCGCTTACATCAAATGTTCAATTCAGTAACAGTGTTCCTGTTTCTAGTATTGATAGGATCATACTGGAATAATAATTTGACTTTTTCTCATGTGATTTTCATGCATTTTCCACTGTATCCTCATGCTTTTTCTCATTTAATCCTGATGGCTATTTCAGGCGATTTCAAATTGTATTCGTTGTGTTCCACGTCTCTCGGATCGTTCATTCATATGGGCTGTGAGTGCACAGTATCAACCAAGAATGGCGATACTTTCGAGTGTTCACTTGAACGATACTCATTCAGTGGGTCTTTTGGAATTTCACATATGTTCTCAGCGTTGATCAATGAAATGTGATTTTTCTTTGCCTTTGTCAGGTCAGCGATTTGCCGTTTGATATGCATCGTTGGATTCAACAGCGAGGCTCTTTCCAATCCGTAGCAGTCGGTTGTGAAGGGATCGTATGGGCAATTGCACAGGTTTGAAATTGAATGCTTGTGCGTTCGGGAAGCTAGAATCAGTTCATTCGATCTGATGCGTTCATTCAAATTTTTACAATCTGAATAATTTTGTCATCTATTATTTTCTGTCAATTTACATTATCATTATGCTGTTTGCGATGATTTTGTAAATTCCTATCATTTTTTGCTGACAACATTTTCCCATTCTCTTAATCTTAAATTCTCGTTTCCTTATTACTGACTTCCACCTTCCCAGCCTCTGATTTGGTGAAATACTTTGCAGAATGGGACTGCTTGGGTACTTTCGCCCGAATTCGATGTTATAGCCGATGATGTGGATCGTTCTGATCAACTGGGTTTAGTACAGAGCGATGATAAGCTGGAAATTGTTTTGGAAACACAAAAATACAGTTTGTTGAGCGGTTATTCAACCTTTAATGGTAAAGCGATGGGTAAGTACTTCGCATGGTCGGATGAAACGGGACAAGTGCTTAAGAGGAAAACCGAGACAAGGTTTGTGATGGAAGTACTCAATGATATCTTTTCGAACATCACATTCAAGCATATGCTCGCTTAGAAGCAAGGTCAAGTCAGAATGCTCACAGAGACTGTCAACGAATTACATTATGTGAAGGAATTTCCTCATGACTTCACATTTGACAAGAATCCTTTGTTCGTTCACTTCACTAGAGTAGGTAAGAACAGTATCGGGACAGGAAACAAAGCGAGTCATTTTTTAGACTTCCGAATAAATACTGGAATTGGGTTGATTCAGAGTGGGTGATTGTTCCAAGCGAAGATGATAGCGAGAATGGGCAAGAAGGATGGCGATACGCGAGAAAATTCGATGAAGAATTCGTTGAGACAAAGGGTAAAGTGGCTCATTGAAAGGATATTGAACCAGACAAAAAGTGAACCAATCAACATGTTCATATGAATGCGAATTGAAAAACGGATGAACTTATATAGTAGATGTGCTTCGCGATCCGAGAACTATGCCATCTTAAAGTTTCAGTGAATTCCAGAGATTAGTTCGCGAAACGTTCGTAAATTCAGATGTGAAAAATATATTTGTAGTGTACTAATATCTTTTCTAAGCAGCAAAAGTTTACAAAATATTAACGTCTCACATTATGTAACTTGAAAGAGTTTATCAGTACATTTCAATTATTAATGAGTACTTTGGAAGTTCGGATTTCAGGACCATTGAGGAGGCGTGAATGGCGGAGATTACGTGTGATGGAAATGCCAGGACCGTGGATACGGGTCGATGCACCGAAGCTCTTATCGGTGTATGTGCAAAAAACTGATACGAAACCAGTATGCTGATTCGTGCTAAATATTTTGAACACTTATTTTTGACCTGTCTGCGAGATAGAACACTGATAACAATGAGAAGTCTCTTCATGCATTCAGTTCGGGAAAACTTTTTCGTTTTAGGTTGAAACCTTGAAACTTTTCCACTCTCAAAGGTATTGTTCGAATGCGACTTTTTTGATCTCATCTTGCATTTTAGAAAAAAGAAGAAATTAATATTAATATGATCATCTAGCCACGAAAAAATGACCGTTTTCCTTATCATTTACTGTTAATATTTGCCTTAACTTTTGCTCACGATTATATAATGCAATCATAGGAATATTATAGGTTTTTTGTGCTAATTATGAGTTGTTCTCTGATATCTTTTTGCGTTCGCTGCAGAATTTCTGGTATATGATGGTGCACCTTTGAAATGAATAACTATTCTCGATTGATGCGTTTCAGATGTTTGTTTGGGCGATCACAACTAGTGGTGATTTGCTATGCAGAGGCGGCGTTTCGGCACAAAATCCAGCTGGTGATTTTTGGGAAGAGGTGCGTACTTTTTCATTCTGTGCTATTTTCGGAAACTCTTAACAGACATGAATAATTCGAGAGATGAACTCTGATCGACTATCTCAACTCCGCTATATTGAACATTCACAATGTTACTTGTGCGCTTCCAACTCGTAAAATTCGATAGAACCAGCAGTTTGAAGCGAAACTTCAAAAGGAGACACATAACCCGAATGCATACACATAGAAAACTACATTCAAATGTATATTAAATTCATCAATAAAGCAAAATTAGAGTTCAGGTGTGTGGTGAAAACATTCACATAGTGGATGTATGCGCATCATCGAGCAATTGCCTTTGGGCAATCACAGCACAAAACACCGTTTTGGTACGTACAGTAATGAATGCAACTGATATCACTTGCGCTGGTTCGTTTATCATCTCATAGTTGAAAGCTAAAATACTTCTTCAAACTGCTCCAATTCGCCTGTACACGTTTGTGACTGTTTATTTGACATATCATCGTTGTTCTGAATTATTTCCATTCAGAAATTCTGGTTCGAAGCTTGAGATCCTTCATTTTTGTTATAACTCAGATGACCTAGTTAGATCATTATAGACTGGCACACTGTCGAGACACCTTCGGCTATGACTGGCAACTTGAAGCAGATCGAATCTGGAAGAGTTTCAGTTTGGCTGCTGACTGACGATGGAGAGCTATTTCTAAGATTGGGTATCACGTCAAAGAATGTTTTAGGTGATTATTGGTATCAGGTGAGAGATTTCTCAGTTTTATGCATAATGTTGTGCTGCTGGTCGTGAGAAGGAGAAGCACATTCACATGAGTTGTTATTCGATAATTACAATCCAAAAGAAGCAAGCATTTAATTGATGAAATTTATTGCAATTGCTATGACGATATGATGAACAATGACCGTCGATTCAAACTTATTCATGTGTTTGGCTATTATCTTGATATTTTGATATTTATAATGAAGGTTCTGATCACAATCATTGCAGTAAAATCAATTAGAATGAGGGTAATCGTGAGAAAGAACAAGTTATTTTGCATTTAATGAGGACAATTCTTTTCATTGTATTAGTTTTGTTCAAGTGAATCAATCTATTCTAAAGGTTCAGCACATCAATTCTGGTTTTTATGCGAAGTTGTTGTCAATTTAGCAAAGTTATTTTTTTGCGAAGTGAGAGGCTTCAGCCGAAACCAAAACCGAATGTTTAATTGTCGTGTCAATCGCCGTGAAATGTTTTGCTTGCAGTTCGGCAGTGACAACGGTGCTTTGATCTGCTGGATCAGTGTTGATAAAAACGATCGACTTTATGCGATCAAAAAGATGAACGCTAACAAGAACTCCGCCAGCTTTACAGTGGTTCGTACGCGTGACTTCGAATTTGTCAGCGAGATATATCGTCGACGGCAGCACGCTTTATCGAAGAGTAAGGCTAGGAGTGCAGGGAAAAACAACGAACAACCAGTGAAAATTGAATGGGAGACGGGTATGACGAATTTTGGGTGCCCGCAAATTTCAGTTTGGTAGAAACTGGCCATCATATATGGTAAATCCAATCCTGATGGGGCGATAGCATTTGTGAATCATACTCGACAGTCATACTTACCCACTAATGATGCTTTATCAGTTCTCTGATTTTGCACTTTTCAAAAATTTTGCCCATGAAAAACTCTCAGATACCCATAAGAAATGTATAAAGTGTTGTATAGAAACACGAATTGTAATTTTTAAAGTTATATTCCAAATGTATCATAGCAATAAATTTTTTACTTTTTAATGTCAGATCGAAATTTGTTTTGCGTGTTATTCATATCATTCATTGCTATGTTTTCTATCTGTAATTCATAAGTTCCAAATTAATTCCAAGTATCCTATATGATATTGCAATTTGATTTGTGTGTTACCATTAAGCTCGTTCATCAAGCGCATTGTAATCTTCATGATATCTGTATTTCTGTTTGCACAATATGGGTCTTTCCTGTTACATATCACATTCACTTCCTATACATTTTGTGTTTGTCTATCACGATGGTTCTCTCTCAGAAGAAAGGATATTCCTTTGGGATAATTTCAGAGTATCAAGGGGTAATTGAAGGAGTTGGCAAATCATTACTGATTGTATTCTCTCACGAGTCTACACTATTTGCCCAATAATAATTTCAAAACGCCCGTATGATCGCGAGGAATTGATTTTTCTTCGATACAACAGAGGAATTTTTGATAGACAACTTCTTGATCAATGGGATACTTTCCTAAATTTCTTGTGATCAATTAGGAACGAATGACAGTGGCCTGGATCGTTTGAAGGAGGTGAAACCGTCTGTGCCGGATCGTTAAAGGAGGGTATGGGGTGCAAAAGCTTAAGAACCACTGATCTATCATATAGTAATATCGCTCAGTGCAATCAAGTGATCAGTTTTTAACACTGGGAAAATTCTTTCTTAGCATGTGGAAGCTGGTCGTGCGATAATGCTTGACTATCCCATATGTCCTTTGATGAAACCATCCTATATGTCATTTTACGTTTAATGGTCGAATGGAATTTCCATTTTTATATTCACTAAGTTTCTTTGTGTTCGTGCAATGGAATGAGCGAACGATATTAATAAATAACTAATAGAGAGATGATCATGAATTCTGCCAGTAAAACTCTGAAAAATTTCGCGTTCAATAAATATTTGATGATCATCTTCCATCGTTAATGCAAAACTTTAATTATTCAAAGTCCTCAATGTTGCAAAGTGCATTCAAATAATTTGCTCTCAAAAAACTCCAAATCTCGCTATCTCACTAGAGTACACGAGGAGATTACGAGCAGATTTCATTGATCGTACGACAAGCACATCATTTTGACCAGTTACGGGCGAAATATCTCACATCAGTTACGGGCATTCGAAGTATTGCAGCGTAATAGCCCAATCATAGTTGCATGGAAGCGAATCCATCTGTTCCAGATGTGACAGAAGAGTCATGAATACCTTTATATGGTCTAGTCAAATTTGATACAAAATTTCCGAGGAACGAGCGAAAGCAAGAAGTTAAGTGGAATGCAGAGTGTGAGATGCAATAATCAACATGCGAAAGATTTCATTCCATCAGATTTTCACGCATTTTGATCAGCTAAAAAAAAA